GGGCTCCCTCCCCTCCCTGAGAGGGGGGAGAGTTGGGAAGAGTTCTGCTTCCTTGTTCAGTTTTTGGTTGTAATTTTCTTACCAAGTGGGGTTTGTTTTGTTATGCCTACCTTTCTGAGTGCCTAACCCTGGTCGATGGCAGACAAGGCATACCCCCCAACCACTGGAGGTTTTCCAGAGGCCATGGCTCCCTTGCCTCTCTGAGGGGCCCAGGTTCTGGCTCGTGGTCCCTGGTGGGTTGAACTCCATTGACTAATGCCCTAGACTAATATATCGCAAATCAGTCCGATAGCCCCAGAGAGCCAAAGGGGCTCCCCACAGAAAAAAGAGCAAAACAACCTGCCAGAACCGAAGAACAATGATGAAGGCATAGAAAATGGTGAAAAGATCACCAAGAGTCCACAATATTGTCAGCAGAACCACAGCTGGGACACCAATAACAAGTCACCCAATTACACAGATAGGGTGATCCACACACGTCAACACACGAGACGTAAAGAGAGGAAAAGAAGGTCGAACCAGTGAGGAACATCATTCGCCCAACTCTCGGAAGGAGGCAGAGCCGCAGAAAGATCCCAGAGGTCGGAATGAAAGATCGAAGGAGGCCGAGCTGCAGAAAGATGCCCGAGCGCTTCGGATTCGTAGTCCTGAGGTTCCGGGTTCGATCCGAGTCCGCAGAGGTTATCTTGAGATGATTTCGGGGCTTAGCGTCCTCGCGGCCCTGTCCTCGACCAGGCCTCCTTTTTGTTACAAAACCCCAGGAAGCAGCCCGTAGCAGCTGTCTAACTCCCAGGTACCTATCTACTGCTAGGTAACAGGAGCATCAGGGTGAAAGAAACTCTGCCCATTTGTTTCCGCCTCCACCTGGGATCGAACCCAGAACCTCAGGACTACAAATCCAAAGCGCTGTCCACTCAGCTGTCAGACCCCTTAATATGGAATGTGATGTTACGGCTACTTTATTTTATTTAGTTTATTGTGAAATTCCCCTTGTGCGCATGAAATAAAGTGTTCCCCAAAAAATGTTTTCTTCATAAAATGATAAATTCCCTTCCCTGAACATGTCTATGTAAAAATAAATACCAAATTCCACTTACTTTGGTTGTGGGGGATGTGGACAAGGTGCGCTGTGATGTCATCAGGTCATCAGGGCCTGGTCGCCCATGCGTGACTCGCCCAGGCATGGTCGTGCGGGCCATTCAAGTACCGGGTGTTGCCACAAATATATTTCAAATTATTTGTTCTATGTATTTCAGACGCGGTTTTATTTATTTTTTTATCGTATATGATGCATATGTGTGTCCTTTACAATATGTATACAGTAGAACATTCATAATGTTCCATGGAACTGCGATACATGTGTCAGTAATGTGTCCACAATAAATGTTTATTGTCACAATTTGTTAAAAATTCACTAAAATTACAATATGTACAGTTTCACACACTATTTACACAGTAACACACTGTAGTACTTCGGAAGTGAGTAATAATTAACGAAGTAGTCCATGGTACACAGTGCGACTTCGCTCTCGTTGCACCAGGTACAGATAGATTTTCACTTCTTGTTTCTTCGTTGTGTGCGCTTGCAAATAACGCACTCACGTACACCCTTGGCATTAGTACCTGTAGGTAGTATGTAGCCATGCTTACAAAACGTAAGGTACAGTAGTCTTGAAAAGATTACAGGAAAAGATCAATTTGTAAGGTCGTCGTGAAAAGATTGCTTTGTAAGGTCCCACACAGGAGGAGATTCAGCCAGCCTCAAAGAGTGTCCGTCAGTCAAGAAGAGATTCGGCTATTCTTGAAAACCTCTATGGAAAACACCACCATGGAAGCCACTAACATTATTCATCTATGCTACTTGTATCAGATGCATCATCACTGAACGCAAAAAATGATTCATCTATGTATCATCTAAATAAATTGGAGATAGCATAGCATAGGTGGGCAAGGATGGCGCTCAGAGCTACAATTGGATAAGCTTGCTGTATCGTCCTCATAAGTGTTGTATCACTTGCATCCGACCTTTGTGTTAGGTCCTTATTGCGCCTAGCTTCACCAATATTATGACCCCTTATGTACTTCAAACAATATCACAGAATACGATCTTTCAACACCTTGTCCAGGTGTTTGGGAGCCAGAGGCGCGTGCGCCACCCATGGTTGCTCACTCAGTACTAACTCAGCCAGCAGCCCTAGGGCATTCTGGGAATTTTTTCGAAGATGGCTGCCTCTCACTGATGGTCCTAAGACTTCATTTCGTACACAACCAACCTCGCACACATTTAGAATGGGTACAAAAAAATGAGAGAGTTTTCTCGGTTGGCTCAGTTTCCCACCAACCGAGAATACTCGGTTGGCGCAGTTAAGTGGTTAAAGGTAAGGTCTTCCAACATGAGTACACCCTAATCCTTTACATTGTCTATTTGTTCTATGTTATGATTTGTCTGCCTTTTGAACGTGTTTCCCATTTTTATATTTTAATTTTTTCCGTATCACAGGAGCTGGAACTTATCTTCATTAAACACCATATTATTTTCTGTAGCCCATAGAAAGACCAGATTTACCTCTGATTGGAGGTTTGCTGTGTCCTCAATGTGATCTACTCTCATAAAAATCCTAGTGTCATCTGCAAAGGATGATACAGTACTATAGATTGTTTCTTTGTGTATGTCCAATATGAGGATGAGAAAAGTACTGGAGCAAGCACAGTACCCTGAGACTGAGCTCTTCATGGTTGATGGACCGTATTTTATTTTGTTGACTATTACACACTGGATTCTGTTAGCCAGGAAATTGTAGATCCAGCTGCCTATTTTTCCGTTAATTTTTTTTAATGCATTGTGTGTGCAATAACACCATGGACACATTTGTCGAAGACTTTTGCAAAATCTGTGTAAATTACATCAGCATTTTGTTTCTCTTCCACGGCATCTAGTGCCATGTCATAGTGGTCTAGCAACTGTGATAGGCAAGAGCGCCCTGTTCTGAAACCATGTTGTTCAGGGTTATGGAAATGATGTTATTCCATGTATTTTGTGATCATACTTCTTAGCACTCTTTCAAAGATTTTTATGAAGTGTGATATTAGTACTATCGGTCTGTAATTTTTTGCCTCTGCCTTATTTCCTCCTTTATGAAGTGGTGCTATCTCTACTGTTTTTAGTATATAAGGGATAACACCAGTATCTAGGCTATGCCTCCAAAGCATGTGAATGGCCTGCGATAGTGTTTTTTGACAGTTCTTGATGAATAGAGACTTCCACCAAGAATCAGGGCCTGGTGCAGAGTGCATAGGCATACATATGGTTTCTTCAAAATCCAGTGGGGATAGGGTGACATCTGATATGTGATTTGATGTTAGTATAACATCCATGAAAAATTCATTTGTATTATCAATCTTCAGTGTGTTCAGTGGTTCGCTGAAAACAGTCGTACTGATTTCTCAGTATTTCGTTCATTTCCTTGTTGTCATCAGTGAACGTTCCATCTCCCTTTCGCAAGGACCCAATACTAGATGTGGTTTTTAATCTTTATTTTGCATAGGAGAAAAAATATTTTGGATTTCTCTCAATTTCACTAATGACCTTTTGCTCTCTTTACCTTTGCTGGATTTTGTATGACTCTTGTACCTTTAGTTCAATTGTTTCTATTTCTCTACCTAGCCTTCTTCATCGTTCTTGAGATAGGGTGTGACTCAAGTTGTTCTGCGATTCATTTTCTTCACCTATAGAGGGAATGTCGTTCCCGTTCCAATATGCATCTCTTCCTATTTTATTTTCTTAGGGGGTATGTGGTTTGAGCATATTTCTAGTGCTACTGAGCTTAATTTTTCCAGGCACTGGTTCAGGTTTGCATTTTCTAGTTGTTCTTCCCAGCTTAGTCCTGTGAGGTCTTGGTTTATTTGCTCCCAGTTTATCCATTAATTATTGAAATTGAATTTCCTGAATTCTCCTCTACTGGGATTTGGGACTAGTTTTGCATGTCTATTCCCCATGCTTGTCAGAACTTCAATTAAGTTGTGATCTGAGTAACAGGTATTTGTAACCATTATGTTCCAGATCAATTCATCATTATTCGTGAAAATGAGGTCCAGCATGTTCTCCTTTCTAGTTGGTCCTACTATTTACTGGTTTAAAGCACATCTGTCGCACATCCATAGCAAATCATTTGCATGTGACTGTTCATTCATGAATACTTCCTGATATTCTCTCAGATATAACTGTATTAGCAAGGGTCTTCCATTTCAGGTGCCGTAGGTTGAAGTCCCCAAGCAGGATGATGTTTGGGGCTGGATGTGTGAAGTTTTCTAAGCAGTGTTCTGTTTTCATAAGTTGGTCTTTAAACCGCTGAGGATTTGCCTCCAGTGACTTGTATACAAAGACAATAACTACATTTATGATTTCTATTTTGATTATCAGCACTTCCACCATATTGTTTGTGGTGTTTAGCAGCTCAGTGCAGATGAGTGTGTCTTTGATGTACAAGCAGACCCCACCCTGTAGCCTGTGTTTCCTGTCACATCTGAAAAGATTGTACTACAAAATACTACACATATTTCACCATCATAATAGTCCTTTCTGTGGGTTTCTGTTACGGCTGAAAACACTGCATTTGCCTCATGTAGGAAGCCAGCTATGAAGTGAATTTTGTTAGATTTGAGTGTTTTTATACTCTGAATGTTGGCAAATAAAAATAATGTTATCATATTTGTGGAAGTGCTGGATGCTTTACTTGGTGTTAATATCTGAGGCTCTGGTAGGGAGGCCACTGCATTCCAGAATGATTAAAAAATTTAGCAACATTATAACACCTCCAGTTTAAGTGGAGCCTTAGACTTAAAGAATAGGGAATACAGCCTTATATAGGTCATTAAATCAAATGAATATTTACTTCAATTACTAGCTGGGGACAAAAATGGAAATGGCTTTCTCAATTATAGGATTACATTGAAGTACATAATTTAAAAAAATATTAAACATGAAAAAGCTGTTATTTTACCTCCAGCACAAAATTTGAAGGTGGTAATCCAGTTGACTGTAGAGACATATCAAACAGTTGGCCTTCTTCTTTCTCTCTTAGTAATTTCTCCTCCAACAAACGTTTTTCTGCCTCCAGCTTAAACTGTGTTCCTTCCATTTCAGATACTAACTGCTGCTTGTTCATCTGAAAATAGTATGAGAAAAAATGTGAATACTTATAATTAAACACTGCATATGTAATTATGTAAAAAATCAGCATTGAATGTAATGAAACGCCATTTTCTGGGTGAGCCCCGGAGGCTCCCTGGAGCTTATCGGGCTAATGTATTTTATATTAGACCGGGACATTAGCTATGAGTTGAGACCTACCAGGGACCACGAGCCAGAACCTGGTCCCCTTCAGAGAGGTTTCAGGGAGCAATGGCCCTGGAAAACCCCATATGGTTGGGGGTTTTCCTTATCTGCCATCAACCGGGGTTATGCACCCAGAAAGGTAGGCATAACAAAACAAACCCCACATGGTAAGAAATTAACAACAAAAACCTAACAGAGAGGTAGAACTCCCTTCAATCCCAAGGAAACAAGGGAACAAGCAAATGTAACACACTACTGCCACGCTGCTCATCAGCGCAGCCCTCCCCTCCCCGAGAGGGAGAGAGGGGGGGGCCAGACCTCACCGCGCCGGCTGCATAGCACTCCAGTTCAGAAGCTAAGCTTCAACAAACGCGAAAAAAATGCCGACCGGTGAGAGGGAGGGTTGCCAGGGAGCCTCTGGGGGTCACCTAAAAAATGGCATTTCATTACATTCAACGCTGGTTTTCTGAGGGGAGCCCCTATGGCTCCCTGGAGCTGTAGGAGCTCAAAAATTATGAGGAGCATAATTATGAGGAGCATAAGATGGAGGAAGATAGTGTGAGGCTACAAGGTGTCCTAGACAAACTGAATGAATGGTATAACAATGGCTACAAAAGTTCCACCCGAGTAAATGTAAGGTAATAAAACTAGGAGGAGGATCTAGGAGGCCAGACACAGGATATCGAATGGAGATGAAGTCCTTCGTGAAACGGACAGAGAGAAAGATCATGGAGTTGATATCACACCAAACCTAGTGTGAGGGAATGAAGATTCCCTCAGCTAGTTTTCCTAGTTTTCTAGATTAGGCTAGTTGCTCTAGGGACTCTAGTCAAGAAGTTTTCAAACTAACATACACTTGTGGGGTGTTGGATGAAAGCTCGTGTTAAGGACTATCATTTGTGACTAGCTAGAAGTCTGTGATTACTCTGTAGAGGGAGTTACAGATTTTTCCTGTTTCTGTGAAAATAGGATGGGAGTTGAGAGTAAGCGGTGTGAGAGGATACTTGACTAAAACCGTTAGAGGTGGTGGGGACAGTGGGGTGAACGTCGGCCCCCCCCCCCACCATGTGAGACATCGCGCCAGTCTTAGGACTCCCCCTCCTTGTGACGACACGGGACGCCGCAGGGCGAGGCCGTCTGTGATTGGTTTAGGCATCTCTGCTCCTAACTGAGTTTTGGCGCGAACAGCTGTGATTGGGAGCGGCACGAGGGAACAGTGCCGGCTTAGTGCTGATTGGTCAACATAGGTGGGGGGGAGAGATTGGCATTTTGAGTTCCCTTAGCCTGCCAAATAGTCAGTTTGAGCTAGGGCAGCAAGCTGGAAGGGTGACTTTTGGGTGGGGGTGGCAGCCTGCCACCTCCACCCCCGTTAATCGCTGTGTCATCCTGATTACTCATCGTGTATGGCACTCCTGCCATCCTGGGGTTGTGTCAAGGCCCAATTTGCGTGAAATTGGGGCCGATGAGACAAACCAAGAGACAGTTACAGTGTTAACCCATGAGGCAGCTGGCCTCATGGTGTATCAGATTGATCCCTCATCCCTCGGGTTTGAGTATCCTGTCTAGTGTTAATGGACAATGGACAATTGGTGGAATATGGGCAGTGTAAGTGAGGTGATATTACAGGCCCCTGTTGGACTTTGATTTCCACTTTGTTGGGTTTTGTTACCTGGTTGATACCTGGTTGATGGGGTTCTGGGAGTTCTTCTACTCCCCAAGCCCGGCCCGAGGCCAGGCTCGACTTGTGAGAGTTTGGTCCACCAGGCTGTTGCTTGGAGCGGCCCGCAGGCCCATATACCCACCACAGCCCGGTTGGTCCAGCACTCCTTGGAGGAATAAATCTAGTTTCCTCTTGAAAATGTCCACGGTTGTTCCGGCAATATTTCTTATGCTTGCTGGGAGGACGTTGAACAACCGCGGACCTCTGATGTTTATACAGTGTTCTCTGATTGTGCCTATGGCACCTCTGCTCTTCATTGGTTCTATTCTACATTTTCTTCCGTATCGTTCACTCCAGTACGTTGTTATTTTACTGTGTAGATTTGGTACTTGGCCCTCCAGTATCTTCCAGGTGTATATTATTTGATATCTCTCACGTCTTCTTTCTAGTGAGTACATTTGGAGGGCTTTGAGACGCTCCCAATAATTTAGGTGCTTTATTGCGTCTATGCGTGCCGTATATGTTCTCTGTATTCCCTCTATTTCAGCAATCTCTCCTGCTCTGAAGGGGGAAGCGAGTACTGAGCAGTACTCAAGACGGGACAACACAAGTGACTTGAAGAGTACAACCATTGTGATGGGATCCCTGGATTTGAAAGTTCTCGTAATCCATCCTCATTTATCATCATTTTGGGTCCGCCATGTGGTGACGCCGACAGCCACCTTGGCCGGCCGCCCGGGGGGGGGGGGGGGGGGGGTGCGGGCACCCTCCAGGTCACCCGCGCGCCGGCCACCCCAGGCCACCCGCGTGCCAAACCCCCACCCCACCCCACCCCGTGCGCCAGCTCGGCCCGGGTGGGGTGCTGTGACATCATGCACTACCCGTGGCCACCCCCTTAGGGCCACGAGGTAGGCACATGTTTTGGCCACATGTTTTGGCCACATGCCTTGGCCACTTTCCCTGGACAGCCTAGGGCCACACCTAGTCGACACACGAGGAGCGAACTGGGTGTTCTACAGCCAGAGTGGCAGTGACCAGGGAAATGTATGTTGTGTTGAGGATTTAAAGAAACGTGAGTACAATAATCATTGTGTCACAGTGTCTCAGGACTAGTGGAAATTCCGATAAAAGCTGTGTTGTCCCATAGACCTGCCAGGCTAGGGAAGCAGCTGAGAGACAGCTGTCAGTGGCACGTCCAGGTGACTGGTAGGGCGGTACCTGGAGATGGATGTTGTACACGGGACCACACTGTAGATATATATAGCTATATATAAGTGTGTAGACTGACTCGGGTATGTAACCGGTCAGTGTAGAGATCAACCATATAAATGATCCAGTTGTCGATTCTATATAATCGTGCAGACTAGATTAAGCCATAGTAGAGCATGTTAATTATATCACTGCAGAGGTAGGCAGGCCAGTGTTGCAGGGATGTCAGTGGATACCCTGAGGTCTGTGTAGTTAGGGATACATTTTTCTGGTGATATAATTTTCATTGATTATGTGAATGCCATTTCTGTGTGTTCATTTGCATGTTTTTATGTACTGTGTTGTGTGGTGAGTCAGTAGATGAGATTGCTGACTGATTGCCTAATGATGTCATTAGCATGTCTGGTATGCTGACGGCATCATTATGCTGTTGGTTTGTGCAGTGTTGTTATCAGGTATACAATATTACTGCCCTAGGAACTGTGTTGAGGCTTTAAGGGGCCTCTTTGATTATTCAGGGGAATTCACAGTACTTAATGAGAGCAAGCAATTGATTTGTTAATTGCTTAATTAAGAGAATTAGTGCCAGCTGTCCGCGTAGCGACGGTGCTTTATATTAACGTAAATTGTCTTGCTGAAGTAGTCCCTTGCAACGGTTGCAAGATAAGGGGAGGGGGCAGTAATATTGGTATACTCTTATTGTTGCATAACCGTGTGTCATTACTGTATGGGTACAGTAATTAATGAGTTGCAGTAGCCGCAACCGTATGTGGGCAGTGCATTTATGTTGTATTGCATGCCATTGTAGTGTGACCTAAGTAACACTGGGGTTACTTTGTTTCTTTAAGTTGTGTTGAGGACTTAAGGATTCAGTGAGTTAGAGTAATTAACTGGATAAGGGGTGCACATTTATTGTCGAGTGAGTGAGAGCTGTTATAGGAGAACAGTGTTGAGCTTGAGTGAGATACGTATCGGGTGCAATTAATTGTCCGTGTGACAACTAATTGACCATTCTAGCTAATTATGTAATTAGCCTTCTCATCATGAATTCACGTAGTGGGAGAGGATCTGTCAGAGTCTGTCAGTATTTGTGTTAACGTAATTTGCTCAGGACTAATTACCTTTCTGGGGTATAGCAATTAGTGGCTCATGAAAATTAGTGGAGTAATTAACGTCTGGGGTCTTGAGGACTCAGATGACTCAGTAAAGCGAGGTCATGGAGCTAGCATAAATCGTTATATTAATCATATCCTGTCTGAGGATAGTGGATTAAGATGCACTCATGTTAATTAGGGGAGTAATTAACTCCTCTTCCGTGAATTCACAGTGTTTGATGAGACCTGCTTAGGCAGTGCGGAGCGAGACGTATCTATGTATGATTAATTATCGGTCCTGGTGACAGTTAAATAATTACTCGGAGTTAATTAGGGTAATTAACACTCGGTAAAGTAAATTTTGACACAGACTGTTGAGAAGCTACCAAGTTAGCGTAGGCTTAGTTAACGTAACTCAATTGGGATGTAATTAGTGGTACGTTTGACCTTAATTAAGAATTACTCACTGAATACTTGCAAGGAGTCAAGTGTGATGTAATATACGAGAGTTTTGAGTTATTGTTAACAAGATGACTTGTGTTAAGAGAGACAAGTGTTAATGATTAACGTAGAGTACCATCATGTTGTTGTCTATGAGAGAATTGTTTGTGATTAACGTAGTACTTTGTTGCTGACTGCTGTGATCAGTCAATTAACATAATTAATCACAATCAATTTTGTAATTGATTGAGGCAATTTCTTTTGTTTATCGTCTGGTGACGAGAGTAAAGTAACTTAGGGATTACTGGAGCTGTGTCCTAGAATCCCACCTTCCCTGACTTTGTTTACTGTTACAGTGCAACTTCTTGTAGGGAGTTGCAAAGAGGGTTCACATTAGGTGTGATAGGGGAAGTCACTGTTGGACTA